TATGAACAACTTTGTATTTCATGAACAATATGTATAATATGAACAACTTTGTATTTCATGAACAATATATATTTCATGAACAATATGTATAATATGAACAATATGTATAATCTGAACAAATTTGTATTTCATGAACAATATGTATTTCATGAACAACTTTGTATTACATAAAAAATTATATTGTGTGTTCGGGATAATTTATTTAAGGGCAGAGAACTTTCAACTTTACAAACATTAACAATTAACATAAAGTAGAAATTCAATATGCTTCGCAACCATCCTGTAAAATATTAAACAATCCAGGCCGATTATAAAATAAAAACAAACATTCCCTTATAAAAAGTACTTCTTTTTGGTATTCAACAATTTACATTAATCCCCGATAATCTAATAACGTTCCTAGTCATCTAGATAAGAAAGTTTTATCATTGAATCTCTCGGAGGTTTAAATTTTTATTGGTTCTATTTTTTTGCAAGTAAATGATGTATTTTTTCCGTTCCTAACAAATATAAACTGTCGTGAAACTTTGAATGGACCCCCCCCCCCACCACCAAAAAAAATTATTATTTTGTTATTCCTTGTCAATTTTGAATTATGTTTGTCTCCCACAGGGATCAAAGTTTAAGGTTTGCACTGTGCACCCCAATGCAAAGTGTCAAAAAGTTGTCTCATTGAAATCAAATAACAATATAAAACTTAAATCTAGAAACATTTAAACATTTATCAACATTTGTGCAGACGACTTTTTAAAGTAAATTAATTGTTTTAAGATTTATCAGTTTTGATATGATAATTTAGAAATTTAGTTTGAAGATAAATCATATCAAAGGCCGAATTAAAAAAATTTTTGAGACGCGGCTCAAATTCATTAAATTTGGACTCAGGTAACCTACTCACAGCGTCTAAAATATTTTGTGTTCTAATCTCTTCATGCAAGGGTGTATAGAACTAAGGATAGGAGAAATCAGATAAGTTTAAATTTTAATGTGACGTATCAGGACAGCTCTTGAAAATAGTTTATCATAAACAAACAATATTTTGTGAACATTTAATGCTCAAGCTCATCGGCCTTTACCCTGGCTCAGAAAACCATTTAGTTATTGTTTACGATAAAACTAGTTTCTGAGCAGTCCTAATACGTCACAGAGAATGTAAACAACACTTTTCACCAGGGTGAGTGCAACTTGCATTTTATTCGGCAAAGATAATGGTGTCCTGCATGGAACCATTTTAACACAATGTATTTTAAAGGGGGTAAAGGCAAAAAAGGTCTTCCTCTTGGATCATCAAACAATAAATATTTACTCGAGACATAGATCAATTCTAATGCGTTTTTTAAATCAAAATACATAAATAAATATTGGAAAATTTCATAATAATGCGTTGAAATGGTTAAAACTTTAGAAGGAGTCCGCCCCATGCCAGAGTCGGATCCATGCATGACACCGGTGCCCGATTTCTTTATATAAGCAAAAGTGTACTAATGTCTTTTGTGAGGGATGTTCTGCTCAGAATAATTGTTTTATATACTTCTAAAAAAACTGCATTACATTATTTGTCAATTTAAATATGTGGGTTACCGATCTTCTTCTTGGGACACAAAAAGTTTTGAAATGTGTAATTTATCAACCTCCCTTATCATCTCTAAAAAGAGGTTTTAACTTAACAATTTGTATTTTGATTTTCCTTTTTTGGTCCAAATCCTATATATAGTGAGTGGTATTTTTCCATGAGCGACTTCCCAAATGTGCGATTTGCCAAGGAAGTTGCCCAAAGGTTAGGCCTTCCGAGGCGCCGCAGGCTTCCAATGGGGGGGCCGAGCGCTGCGGCTATAGCATGTTAGGGGGTCGAGCGCTGCGGCTAGATCATGCAAGAGGCCAAGAGCTGCGGCTAGATCATGCTAAGGGGGCCGAGCGCTGCGGCTAGGACAGACTTAGGAAGTTGCTCCTTGGGGAAAAAACTTTGGGAAAGTACCTAACATCTTATCAGATACTGCTCGAACCTCTGATTCGGAAACTAATAGGTTTCCCCAACAGTAGAATTGGTAAAACTCTTCAACTAGAAAGTTTCCCCAACTATAGAATTGGTAAAACTCCTCCAACTAGAAAGTTTCCCCAACTATAGAATTGGTAAAACTCTTCAACTAGAAAGTTTCCACAACTATAGAATTGGTAAAACTCCTCCAACTAGAAAGTTTCCCCAACTATAGAATTGGTAAAACTCTTCAACTAGAAAGTTTCCACAACTATAGAATTGGTAAAGCTCTTCAACTAGAAAGTTTCCCCAACTGTAGAATTGGTAAAGCTCTTCAACTAGAAAGTTTCCCGAACTGTAGAATTGGTAAAGTGTCGATGAATGTGATGATAAACAACGGTTGAGGTTGGAGAATTTTGACATCATTGATGACAGTTGTAAACATGTTTTCTCACTCCATTCATAATTCTTGAACTTTCTTTTTTCTTAGAGAGCTTCAACCATTGACAATAATGATGTTATAGCTAGTTAAGCGGGATGTTTTAAGTGTGGCAGCGTAAATTGCATTCTATCAGACTAAAGATAAATAATTAAAAATGGTTTTGTTTCTATGCTGTCCACACCGAACCAGGAGTAATAAGAACAGGACGGACTCAGCTCAGACAGTATAGATTGCTCTGCACAAAGAATGTACAAGAAAAACCAGCGTATTTCTAATTCCTAAGGAATTGGAAATACGTTTGAAATTGAATACGTACGTATTCAATTTCAAATGTTTGTATCCCAGCACAAAATTCATTGAAAATGTGACGAGGCGAACGAATGAATGAATGTTTTGCTTGTTGAAACTGCATGCTGTATTTATTTCATGAAAGTTCAAGTAATATATTTGACTTAAAGTTCCTTAAAACAGTGCACAAGATCCGCAACTCATCAAGTTTTAGCTTGAGAATAGCGAAAAAAAACCAAAAATAATTTGAAAATTTCGTTTTTGTTGAAAAATGAATAAAAATATAATCGTGACCTGGATCCAGATTCCAGATCCATTATTTTCAGCGCAGATCCAGTGCCCGCATCAAAATGAAATGGATCGCACTGTTTTGGAAGCGCAATNCATATTCATTCCACATGATCCCGATAATGTTTCTTTATCGAATTTCTAAAGGACAATAAAAAGAAGTTTCCAATAATCTAGCTAAATGTGTACCATTAAAGAATCCTTTTTATTAATTAGATGTTTCATATTGAAAAAGTCTACAAGATATATCTGCAAGATCTTTTTACTTATTTTCTCACAACCCTATTCGTGTACAGGTTCATATTTAATTTCTTGAATTGAATTAACAGTACTTTGGACCAGGGATTTCACATTTTTCAACTCCAAATTCTGTAAACAACCCTGTAATTTATTATAAAAAATAAAAGCAGGTTTTATGACACACTTGTTTATTTCTACATTAAAAAAAATTAGCCAAATTTTACATAAAATTTTCTTTGTACATATTAAAATGTTAACTATAAGCAACTTCAGAAAGAAGCAGCTTTACACTAAAAAAATGGCAACAGCGGATGTGTCACCAAGAAACATGATTACTCTACATACTCCTTGTGTTTAGACATGAAGTGAATCTTGTGGGCACACTTGAGTGTAAACTGCTTAAAGCACAGATTACAGGAGAAAACTGTTTCACGTCCCTGCTCATGCTTACGTTCTTGCTTCAGCTCATCTAAAATATTATGAATGCAAGATTGTTTATATGCTTAAAATTTCTATATTAAGAGGCAGTACAGGGTCATTTCCATATAAGAAAGTTAAAACGAATTGAGTATTATATTATTTATAGGTTAAACTGAGGGCCACGTGAAATTATGTCTCCGGTCCCTTTGAATAATAAACCTAATCTTCTTACCCTTAAAATGACTTCTGAGATGGTTTGTAAGCCCGGTATTGGTTCTGAAACTTCTATTGCAACCAACAAAGATACAGTTCTCAAGCAACAGATCTAATAAATACAGAAGCAATGTTCATTGTTCAACTACAGGGTGGCCCAAACTTTTTTGAACACATCCGTACAAAAATCCGTACATTTTCAGAAGAAATCCGTACAATTTTCGAAAAACAATCCGTACAATTTTTTTTTTTAAAAATCCGTACAATCCGTACATTTTTTTAAACCAATCCGTACATTTTTTAAAAAATCAGTACATTTTTTTAAAAATCTGTACAATCAGTACAATTTTCGAAAAAAATACCATTTTTGAAAAAAAACATTAAAATTCAATTCTTCATTCATTGTCTTTTGTGTTCAGTTCATGTAAGAGGGTTTAAACTTCTTCAGCAAGAATCAATCTGTAAATAAAAAACGGTGTATTTTCCAGGATAAAAATCCATACAATCCGTACAATTTGAAAACAAATCCGTACAATCCGTACAATTTTAGGGTTAAAAAAAAATCAATCCGTACAATCCGTACGTACATTTTGGCCACCCTGCAACTATAATATTCCAGACAAGAAGACTGAATTAGGATTTCCCTTAGATTTTGATGTTGGAAATTTTCCCAAAGGCTTTTTTCCAATAGCCAATTGCAGGCTGCGGCACCTCAGAAAGCCTAACCTAACCTGTGGGAAGTTGCCATTATGGAAAAGGAACATTTGGAAAGTGACAGTTAGAAAATTTTTAACTGTCACTTGGGAAGTCGCCCTTGGGAAAATACCTTTGCTTTGTTTTAAGGACATCTTTAAAATAATATGCATTATTCATTTGTTAACCTACATATCATCATGCATGTATGGTTCTTGAAACATTTATCAATAAATTCCTCTCGTAGAGGGTCTGCCTTTTTTGCGTTCAATATTTGCGAAAAATTGTGTTCAGTTTACAAATTATTAAGAATGCGATTTTCTCCATTGTTGAAATGTGCACAATTCACTTTTGAGGAGCAACCACAAATCAAAATAAACAGTTTAAAGAAACAAAAAGATGCATACATAATTTAAACATGACAGAACTTTTGATGAAACCGTTGTAAATCGGGCATTGCCATCTTTGCTTGGAGGGTTACTTGAAATTACGTTTCCAGTCCTATTAAATAAAACCAATACTGTTGTAATTAGAACGAACTTATTTATATCTCTGGCGGGGCTTAAAGCAGAAGAAGGCAAACCATGGTTTAGAAATACCGGGATCAGAATTAGTTTGTGATTTTTGATTTGAGAATTTTGCTTCTAAAATTAGGTTGACGAATGAAGTCAGCAAATTATTTCAACGAACAAGTCTTTCAGCTGTAATGTTTGATGGGTTCCCCCAACACAATACATAATATAGGTTAATACCTGGGGATACTATCTTCTCAACCTTGTTTCCTTCCACATTCTTCTGCTTAATCTTCCCAACCTTTTCCAATTCCGATTTCTTCTGTTTAATCTTCGCAATTTCTTTTCCTCTCACTTTCTTCTGGTCAATTGTCGAAACTTCTTCCTCTTCAACTTCGTACTGATAAATCACTGTATCTTTTTTTCCTCTCGCTTTCTTCTGATTACTATTCACATTTTCTTCTCCGCTAACTTTCCTCTGTTTAATCTTCACATCTTCGTCTCTGCTCACTTTCCTCTGGTTAATCTTCACATCTTCTTCTCTGCTAACTTTCCTCTGGTTAATCTTCACATCTTCTTCTCCGCTCACTTTCCTCTGGTTAATCTTCACATCTTCTCCTCTTTCGTTCTCCTGTTCAATTATCGAAACTTCTTTCTCTTCCCCTTCGTTCTGCTGAAGCACCGTAATTTCTTCTTCCTGGTCCAGGTTCTGATTAATCTTGGAGTCAATTAGTTTGAGATTCTCATCATCTGTGTTTCTTGTTCTCATCACACATGTATCCTCTTTCATTCCGCTGTTTGACTTGTTAAAAAGAACTCCTAGAGGAAGGATGGTCCTAATTCTCTTACGCGAGTTAACTGCTGGGGGTAGAGAAGCATGATTACCTTCATCAACTGAAGTAGAATGCTGAATCAATACTTCCTTCTCCTTCTGGAACAGGTAGCTTCTCATATTGCTTGGTTTGATTCTGGAAGCATTGTTCCCTGGAGATCTAGGGACAAAACTTGAAGAACCAGCTCCGCTCTTGGTTCTAGTGTAAGCACTAAGGGAGTATTCAACGTCGACAGGAGAGAGTTGAACATAACAAATTGTGCAAGAATTAGTTTCGTCTATTTTTATTTCTTCTACTAGATCATGAAAACTTGAACTCTTCTTTCTTCCCCTAAATTATAAAAAGTTTGTAATTAAAGAAGAAAAGATGAACCAAGCGTCTCATCCGTATTCAATTAAGACTTTCTGCATAACAATGCAAATCAAAATATTAATGTTAAGTTTAAGGTGTGAGAAAAGGGGGGATAAAAGAATTTAAGCTTTAGTCTGTTAAATTCTCTTTCAATAGAACGTATACGGGATTGTGAACCCTAAACTTGATTTAGAGTAATGGATAATCTTTTAATTGTATTGTATTCCAAAGTAATTAATAACATACTTGGCATATTTGACATTCTGGTTAGTTCTCGTTCTCCTAGGAGTTGAAGTTAGAACAGTAGACTCCACAACATCACTTGGATTAGCATTTCTAGGGGTTGATGATAACACTGAAGCTTTACATTTCTTTTTCTCAGGAATATTTTCTTCTTTCTCGAGAGTTGAAACTTTGAAATTCTTGAGAGTAATGTTTTCTTTGTTTTCATTAGTTTCAGCAGCGAACTCTTCATCCACTCCGTTATTTTCGAAAGTTAGAGTAGCAACAATATTCTCATTGAGGAAGGTCCTACTTCTCTTACGCGAGTTAACTGCTGGGGATAGAGAAGCATGATTACCTTCATCAACTGAAGTAGAATGCTGAATCAATACTTCCTTCTCCTTCTGGAACAGGTAGCTTCTCATATTGCTTGGTTTGATTCTGGAAGCATTGTTCCCTGGAGATCTAGGGACAAAACTTGAAGAACCAGCTCCGCTCTTGGTTCTAGTGTAAGCACTAATGGAGTGTTCAACGTCGACAGGAGAGAGTTGAACATAACAAATTGTGCAAGAATTAGTTTCGTCTATGTTTATTTCTTCTACTAGATCATGAAAACTTGAACTCTTCTTTCTTCCCCTAAATTATAAAAAGTTTGTAATTAAAGAAGAAAAGATGAACCAAGCGTCTCATCCGTATTCAATTAAGACTTTCTGCATAACAATGCAAATCAAAATATTAATGTTAAGTTTAAGGTGTGAGAAAAGGGGGGATAAAAGAATTTAAGCTTTAGTCTGTTAAATTCTCTTTCAATAGAACGTATACGGGATTGTGAACCCTAAACTTGATTTAGAGTAATGGATAATCTTTTAATTGTATTGTATTCCAAAGTAATTAATAACATACTTGGCATATTTGACATTCTGGTTAGTTCTCGTTCTCCTAGGAGTTGAAGTTAGAACAGTAGACTCCACAACATCACTTGGATTAGCATTTCTAGGGGTTGATGATAACACTGAAGCTTTACATTTCTTTTTCTCAGGAATATTTTCTTCTTTCTCGAGAGTTGAAACTTTGAAATTCTTGAGAGTAATGTTTTCTTTGTTTTCATTAGTTTCAGCAGCGAACTCTTCATCCACTCCGTTATTTTCGAAAGTTAGAGTAGCAGCAATATTCTCATTGAGGATTTGAAGCCCTGCATCAACCTTATGATCAGTAATTTCATCCAGAGTTGTGACTTCAGCGACTAACTCCGAGAAATCGATGTTTTGATTAGAAAGAGCTAATTTAGCAACTACAGCTTTCTTGGATCCTACTGATCCTTGATCAGTTTCAACATTCTTGGAATCAGTTAGTTCCTGAGCAGCTCTGAGATTGTTAGAGGTGTATATCTCCTGGGAATCTTCATCAACCTTGGAAGCAGTTCTTTCTAGGATACTCACATCATTGTCAGAATCTTTCTCAGCTATATTATTGTTAACAGCTGCGGGATCAGAGTTCTAAATAAATATATGTGTCATTACGTTGCTGCCCTGAGATAAGATAGGGGAGTGCAATACATGTCCCTGGTCCAACTTTTCAAGGCCTCTTCATTAAAAAAAAAATTACACCACTAACTTTAATGGTTAGGGTTCAAGGAAGTATTGAGAAAGAGTTCATGAACTACGTCGGAAAAATATTCAGAAATAGTTATTTTTACTTTCCACAAATATTAACATATGATACATGATATTATATCCATTTTTCAAGGGCTTCTTAAATATATAAATTTTAACACTGTAGCTTATTTAATAAAAAGTTATCATTTCTGATATTTTTATAACACAGACCCACCGTTTGTTTGTTCTCCACCCAAACCTAATCCTACGCAACAAAAAGATTTTTTTTTGGGAAAATTTGTTTACAATTATGGAGTTGAAAGATTAAGAATTCATTCTAATGTAAGCCGTTTTTAAGTCATTAAGAAAAAAACAAAAGGGGGGGGGGTAGAAAACACCAATGATAATTGGTTAAAGCATCAACTTATTAAAAAATGGAAGTCAGCTATAATGAATTTGAAAGAATGAATCTCTTTTCTAGAACTTTCTACCCGTTTTATTTCCCAGTTCCCATAGACCTAGATGACATGGTTTCAAAGATTGAGAAAGCCTTAACTCCTGGATCTAAATGTTCACCTATCAGCATTTCTCTACCTGAGAATTATGAGAACTGTTTGCAGACACGTTAATAAACTCTCCGGCATCATTCTCAACTATCCTAGTTATTTCCGGCACAAGGTCCTCTTTCAGAACAGGTCTCTCAGTAGTATCAATACTCTTGTCCGTATTTGTCATCCTGTTCTGATCAAACCTATGCATTGTCTGGGCGTCAGGTTCTCCGTACATAGGAGGCATGTTGTACTGCGTCATATTTAAAACTTTTGAAGATGGTACAATGTACTCCTGCAGGTTGGGATACTCAGTGGGCTGATGGTTTATGAATTGTGAGCCCGGTTCATTAAACCTCTGGATGCTTGAAATCTGTGTACCGCACTGATTCATATTCATTCCACATGAGCCCGATTCCTTCCACCCCTGGACGTTTACATTTGGAGTATTGTACTGAGTCAAATTAATTCCACTTGGGCCAGGTTCATTAAACCTTTGGTAGTCAGGATTCTGCGTACGGTACTGATTCATGTTCATTCCACATGAGCCCGATTCCTTCCACTCCTGGACATTTATATTTGGTGTACTGTACTGATTCATATTAATTCCACTTGGGCCCGGTTCATTAAAACTCTGGAAATTTGGATTCTGCATATTGTACTGCATCATGTTTATTCCATGTGAGTCTGAGACATTAAACCCCTGGAAATTAGAAATCTGTGACCCGTAATGCTGTGTCTTCATTTCCTGTGAGGTAGTGACCCTTTCATCATAAATGTACTCTGTGGGGTTTCCTCTTTTCTGAATTATATTGGGTTTAATCTGGGTGTCTGGCATCAGAGGTGTCTGTGTGTCTGGCATCAGAGGTGTCTGGGTGTCTGGCATCAGAAGTGTTTGAGTGTCTGGCCTACCAAGCTCATGAAAGTTCATTTCTGGCGAATCCATGTCATCAAACTCAGCTGTATTCTCATCAAGGTTCCCGACTGAAGTGGTATCATCTGATGCAAGATCCGGTGTTACAGAGTGACAAGGGAGAGGTATAACATCGTAGATTAACTAGAAAAAAAGTGTTTTGTTCAGGGGTGTATATTTTCAGAATTCCCCTGGGGAAAGATTTTGATGAATTGTGGAAAAAAATTGTTTCATTCTTTTTAATACTTTTTAAGCAAAAAAATCATTTTATTTCCTCGAAAAAATCAGTTGTTTCCAAAATCATCGAAAACCCCCTTTAAAAATTGAGAACTGCTCAGCAGATACCTGATGCTTTGAACCCAGATGAACTACAAGAGACTCCCCTGGAACAAAGATAAACATTAAACAAGCTTAAATCAAAATTTTAAATCTTAACGAGATCAGGGAACTGAATGCCTGTCGCATCGATATTTCTGTTTAGCCAATCAGAAGTGTGTCAAAGGGATCATGGGTCTAAAAGCTGAGCCATATGACCAAGATCGATAACCGGTGGCATGCACGGAGAGCCTACCCACTAGTATTACACCATTTCAGCTCAATTTTAAACACCAAAAGAAATATTTCGACACTTATCGATATTTGTTAATGTATTTTGATTGTGCATTTGCATTACAAAATATGTAAGTCTCGTAGAAATAATTATGGTTTGACAATCTGAAAGGAAGACGACATTTACGTTTACTTATACATTTTAGAACTCAGTGTTCTAACATAACCTAACCTTTATTTATGTGAACTAATAATTTAAAATGTTTAAAAAGTGCTTTTAGTGTCTAAAATTGCGTTGAAATGGTTCACACATAGGGGGAAGGCTCTCCACGCACGACACCGGACATAAGGAAGCTTGGGCGTTAATTATCCTGCAGCTCAAAATATCGAAAAATATCAAATTGAAGATGATGAACCAATTATAACACTGGCTTACCTTGTGGTGGAATACTGTTACAGAAATAACAGAATCCAGGGAAGATACTTTCTCTTTTGCTCTGTTCTCTGCGCCGCTGATTATTCAACAAAAGCAAAACTCTGTAAAAGTGTTGTTCAGCGAAGTGGACCTCCCTCTCAACCTAGTAAAGCAAAGATAATGAGAATCAACTAATAAAATATTATTCAAACCAAAGCATATTATCTAAATCCTGCAGAATAAAATTGGACTCGATTCACACAAGAAATACCAGACAGTGTTATGGGTTCTGTAAAATCATCAAAATGACAATGCTAAGCAAAGTTACTTCAGGTAATCTTCAGGGTGGCCAAAACTTTTTTGAACACATCCGTACAAAAATCCGTACATTTTCAGAAGAAAACCGTACAATTTTCGAAAAACAATCCGTACATTTTTTTTTTTTTTAATCCGTACAATCCGTACATTTTTTTAAAAATCCGTACATCACTCTTTCTGGATTTTATTTTTTTTTTGGCAATTTTTTCTGTAAATTTACTATAAATTTTGAAACTACAGGGCGAATAAAAAAGTGTGATTGAAAACGCATCTTTTTTATCAAGTTCTCATGAATGGTATTTTTGCATTAGTTTAAAAACTCAAATGGCACTACAAAAAAAACCCGCTCCACTTTTTTTCCGTCAAAATTGAAAGTGAAGAGAAAGAAAATTGTGATAATAGATAATTGCAATCCAGTCCTTAAAGTGTATTGAATTCGTCCTGACCAATTGAGAGATATATCCATAAAGGATCTCCAAAATGTTCATGAAATACATCCAATGTATTGTTCAGTTGATAAAAAAAATAACAGTTGGAACTGAATTGCGAATTTTCATATCACAATTTTGCGAATTTTCTCCGTTTTAATATTTTAAATATAACAAAAATATGATTCAAGCAAAAAAAATGACAATTTTGTAATTTCGTGTCGTCCACTAATCATTTTTTTACTCATGACCCTATATTATAACCTTCAAAAACAAGCAAAAGAAGGTTTAAAACTTCAAAAAGCGTTAGAAAAATGACTAGAAAGTTGATTTTCTTTTAAAGAAATTATTTAACTTAGAAATCCTAACAATTTTAAGGGGGATGCATATTGTTAGGGACTGTTAGGACATGATTATTCTTTACGGAAGCTGCAGTGAAAAAAATTCATTCTTAAAAATGTAAATTAAAGGAAAAGAGAAGATGTCACATTTTTCTGCATATCACTCACATTTTCCAGTTGTGGGTGTGTATGGGGGGAGGGGGGGATGAGAAAAAAGACATCGCTTTCCAGTGGGGGATGTCACCAAACTGAAAAATTACAGGATATAAAAACTACCTTCAGCCGGTCCGCCTTCTTTTGTATAATCACTTGGAATAATGAAGGCAAATGGTTAGTTGAACAGTTAACTAATTAAAAATATAAACATCCATACCCTAGAGAATCTTGTCATCTCCAGGCGGCAAAATTCACAGAAGAACCTAGAAGAGAAAACCAGTATAAGTTTAGAAAATCAATAGTATATTTGCAATATGCATTCAATCAGATACTTTCACAGATCTTAATTGGATTTAAAAACAATTTTTATCTATTCATTGAATTTTGTAAATTACATTTTCACTAACTTTTTCGCCATTTTAATTTTTTCCTTTTTAATGAAACTTTAGGGGTATTGTGTGGCCAATAACACATGAAATGGAAATGTTAACTAAGACTAATTTAAACAAAAAGACCAGATATGGGAATGATTATTTTTTTGACAATAGAACCTATTTCAACGTTAAAATTTCTCATTTGGCTTAGTTTAAAAATACATACCTAATAAACAGAGGGGTAAAAAATTGTTTTTCAACAAGGACGAAAATGATTTTTTAAAAATATGTACTCTGTTATTAGTTCTCAACCCCAACTGAGGTAGACTTTAAACTTGTTTTTACCTGAACACGCCCTGACTGCTGGTTTCAATTATCAAGACTCCCAGTACTTTAAGCTTCGGCTCCTGAGGCCTTCGTTAAAGAATACATCAAGATTATTTCATCAAGTTAAAGAACTCCATCATTATAATTATATCCTCATAAAATTAGTATTAAATCTTATTTGTTCTGTTCCATGAGCAATTACCCAAGAATTTATATCTAAAAAATATATGTGAAATACGCCTATTTGGAGTTGGAACATTTGACGTTATGAAGGGCTGTGCAGATAAGTTTTATATATCAATTATGCTCTAGTCCTGACTATCACTGTTTATAATTTTTTAATGTTACTATGCTAATATGTTAAAAACCCTTTAATAAGTAAAAATTGGTCCTATACTTGTAAATAGTGGATGTGGTATGATTGTTTCATTAGTTTTAGTTAGTTTGTTTATCAATTTTCTAATGCATTCTCTTGTTTTTTTAAGTTGACGCTTTATTTAGAATATCCTGAATATATAAACTTATAAACTTAATCACTATAAAATCTTGTTATCCGAATAACCAAACAGTGAATTATAGCCAGCTGGATAATGTTGATTTATAAGCTTGAGACCAACAAGCATTTTTTGAAGTTTCGATATATTTTCTTCTTTTATCCTATTTTTCTATTTTTGATACTTTTGATCAGTTTTCTCTCACTCTATTCGATTCATGGATGAAAAGTCTATATCTGGGTGTCGTTCCTTTTTTTGTTTTTCTTTGGTTGGTTTTTAATTGTTTTTAATTTTTTCTAAAAAAAAAATAAGATGAAAAGTCATTTCCCATTTTTTTCGGTTTTCCAGTACTCTAGATTTTTATTTTATGTCCTTTTTGTTGCTTTGTTTTTTTCCCTCTTTTTTATTCATATAGATGTATAGATGAAAAGTCATTCAGTTGCAACTACGTTTGCAATATATAATATTAAATAATTTTTAAAATACATACTGCAGTTCTGTTCATGTTCACATTTCAATTTAAAGATGAAAAGTCTGCAACTACGCTTGCAAATTACTTTGATCAGATCTTAATTAATGGAGAGCTCTGCGAAAAGCAGCTCGGTACGGCAATAGGTAGAACGAGACGTTTTTCTCTATGATTCTATAAATGAAAAATACTATTGTCGATTTTTTTTTGTATTGAATAAAGTTGTTAAGAAGAAGCTTGCTTTATTTAGATCTACATGTTGATTGTTGAATGTGCTTCAAGTTTTTTAAGATTGGGAATTTAGAGTGGGCACAGTTGCCCTGAAGCAGGGATAGGTATAAAAAAAATGTCAACCAAATCTGTCAATATATTTCATATTTTACATATCTAAAGAGTATTTTTCACCTTAAATAAAATCATACCAAGAGCTTTTTGGAAAATATTCGAATTTAATTTTTGTTTTTTAACAAAAAAAACACTTACTTTTGAAAGAGCTTGTGACCTTCTGCCTCTGCCATTTTATCTGAAAAAAAAAATATAAGAACAGATCCTAAAAATTGAAAGAAGAGAATTCAAATACACATATTCTGAGGTTCTCATTGTAATTGGAGTGAGACAGGAGTTTAATTCTATATCTGTCCCAGATCTTTACAAAAACTCTTGTGGATTGACTCGCCGGCCTGTTCAGAATACAATCCAAAACAGGCAGTCTGGAATATGCTCCAAAGTTACATGAAACTTTAAAGTTTCTTCAACTCAGTCAGAGTTGACTCTACCAGTTGAGAAGCAGTCCTCAATAACATTGTTCAAGCTCTTTAGGAAGGAAACATATGGAAGTGAGGCAAAAGGACTCTTCCCACACAGAAGTTCAGGTTCTAACAGTTTCTCCGAATTCTTCAACTCGGTTCTTCATGCCCCACCCTCAAATGTTCTTCAATTATAACCAGCAGATATCTGTCCAAGCTTGGTTGGCCAAATCAAAGCATTCTCCAATCCTACTTTTGGTACGACTCTTTCGTAGAAAGGATGGTTTACACCACCACAGAGATTATGCAGTTCGGGAAATATGTATTTCTTAGGCACTAACATCTCATGTGGCTCATCAAACAGAGGAGGATTTACTGTACTGAAACATTTCTTTTTTCTTTACAAAAGGTGATTGAAGCAATTTTGTTCCCTCTGCCCTTCATTCTTAAACTGTTCATCTGAACTGGGGATCTTGCAGTTTTGCTAATAAAACAATTGCAGTCCTCCTTTGACCTGATTTCCTTTCTGAGTATCATCTCCTCGTAGTTTGGCATAGCTGGGATGCTCCTTTTGCCATCTCCCTTCACCTGACGTCCCAACCTACAATGTAATCAATAATCATTCTTATTGAGATATGGTAATTAAACACAGGGGGGGAGGGGGGGGTTCCCCCCTTCCACTCCTCTTTCAGGACTAAGCTAAGGTCAAGATTTAATTGGATATTTCTGAATTAAGGTGTATCATACTTTTTTTTAAAAAAAGCTTGTTTTAAGAAAGTAAAAAAGGAAAGTTTGCATGTTTTATTACAAAGAAGGTAAGTGAGCATTATGTTGAGTACAAAAAGGTACGTTTGCCTGTATCAAAAAAAGAAAAAGGTGAGCGAGTGTACACTGTTAATTTCCATAGCATGTTTCTAATTTCCATGCGCTTGACTCATTCAGTGAAAAAAATATCAAACTAATTTCTTTTAAAATTATATAAACAGAAAAAACCTAAATCTATTTTTATATGAATACTACAAGAGAAATAGTTGTAAAATAACATTTTTTGAATTTCATACCTAGGTAAATCAGTTCAAGTGTTTGTCAACTGACTCCAGGAACTTGAATCAGAGCAGTTCCTCCTCTAAAAGTAAAATATATTTCAAACCGTGGACAGAAGATTGTTAATTGTTCGTATATATATTTATCCATAGCCTAAACTAAAAATTTGCACTTTTTAATAAATTAGCAGTCAAGATTGATATGTCCGGAGTTCCAAATACTCGATAAAATATCAACCTTTTCATCTTTATACAATATACATCTTCAAATTTACAAAATAAGCAGATACTGAACTTCATTAGCAGTAGCTAGCCCAAGTTTTTGGTTAGGTTAGATTAACATGAAAACTTCTAGACAAAGGACTACGGCTATCAATATTTAATATTAATTATAATTAAAAAAATGTGTGCTTCGTGCCATTATCAACTAGGTCAGACACACTGCCACAGCTATACATTTAAACTTTATAATATTCATTTGCATAAACATGAACTATTAGAAAGATGAGTGGAGAAGAGAGAAAGTTTGAATAAAATTGGTTCAACTTTGCCCAGCAGAACTAAGAATCAACTATATATAATATACTTAAACCATCATAATCAAAAGTCTCCTAAATTGCGACATTTTGTTTAAGAACTTTACAGTTACATTCTTGAACTCCTGTTTAAAATTTTCTAATATTTGGTAGATTCAATGCTTGAGATTCAATCTTCCTTCATTAGTGTAACAATCTAAAGCTTACAGGATAGTCGGACATCCCTTTTGGCTCGGTTTTTGTGATATAAAGGTACAAACGTCGGACGCTACAAAGGTCGGACTTACAAACGTGGGACTGCACTGGTACAAACGTCGGACTGAGATAAATATCGGAGCAGTACGAACGTCGGACGGGTACGTTGAAAGGAAAAACATCAGACTTTGGTTAAGTTTGAAAAAAGACTGCATTGTTATAAGAAATAAAATGAAAACCACTCACTTATTGTGATAAAAATCAAAAAAAAACTGAATAAAGTCTCAACCCTTTAAAGGTACCACTGTATAAACTGATGCTGATAATTTGATCCCTATATTTTTGCAACCTACTATTTTAGACCTTTGACATTTTAACCTATGAAATCTATAAGTTCAAACAGTTGAAGTTTGAAAGTATCAAAGGTTAATACCTTCACTCAGCATCAGGTTGCAAAGATATTGGGATAAGAATATTAGAGTTAATGACGAGAACTTAGTTCCTTTGGGTAGATTTTAATCAGACTATTCGAAAAAATTAAATAACTTTTTAATGAAAAAAATCTTAAAAATCAAATTAAGTATTTTTTTTATGTCCAACGTATGTAATAGTCTGACGTTTGTACTGGTCTGGAAACTAAACTCACTGAACTTTTGTAAACAAAGCTTTAGAACATTTCTGTGGTTCTACTTATTTCCCCATATCAAATTTTAGATAAATAGGTCACCAGGTTCATGAGTTATGATCGGAATTACAAAGATCAAATTAAATCAGACTGATAGGGACGTCCTTAATAATAAATATAGCTAAAATTGGTTTTTAAAAAAGCCGAAAATGGTCTTAAAAAAGACCGAAAACAGTCGGAGGCTTGGTCGTTTGGGAAAATTTTCTGGAACTAAAAAATTTCGCACCATAGAATGTATAAGTCTCTACTTGCGGCCCTTTGGAATAATAATTTGTTGCGCTCATTGCGTATAATAATAAACGTCATTTCGCCCAGACTAAGCTAAAATTAATCATCTTTAACGTTATAAAGCAAATATAGTAGGTTCAGCTTTTGGGCAGTGTAATAATGTTTTCCTAGTCATGTGTACTAATGTAATCTTTGCTCGTCTGTTTGTTAATTTTAAGAACGAACGAAATCAATGATGTTTTGAATAATTGAAAAAACGAACGAAATGGATCGTTCATATACATTGGACTAACGAAATGAAAACAGCTGAAAGCGCCCATCTCTAGTCTGGCCCCCTCACTTCATCAAATTACTTCTTTTTAAGCCCCCCCCCCTCATCAATACAAAAAATGTTACTCTTAATTTTAAGTAATAGATGTTAATAATAACCAAAAATGCACAAAATATTCATTAAATTAAATTTTTTTTTTAACATTCTATACATACAGTTATCTATGGAAAAGTCAACAAAATAATAATTCTCGTTTTTTAAAATAATGGGCATCAATTAATTTATAAATGTTTTTGTATTCCTAGTATTATATACTTCATGTCATGGACTAGATTGATATAAGCTGTGAAATATCAAGAAGTACATCTGGTAAAAATGTAATATATTAATTGATATTGACAAAGTTTACATAATCGCATAATTACTTTTTATTCAATCAGAAGTTTATTTTATCAGAAGCAAGATAACAATTATAAAACTTTCCGTACTCTTGACAAGCAGATGGAAACTCTCACAGCTCTTTTAATCTGGTTCCAATTTGTAAAGAGCATTGAGATTATCATTTATATATTTTCAATGGTTACTAGATATCTGGTATACTATAAACTTAACATCACCACTTTCAATGTACAGAGGATTTGTGACATGTGTTACTGAACTTAATCTGTGCCTGGACGTCTAAACTTTTGCCTTTTAGTAGTCAGCCACTGCAGTGACGCCCCATGTACTTCCTTAGGGAGAAGTGACATGGGCTCAACCCTAAACTCTTTTATGATCGGAATGTTCTTTCCATTATTTACTTATTTATACCATCTTCAAACTACCAACATTTCAAAAGGCAAACTAGAATTAGGCAAGGGTTTCATCAATATGAAGCTAAAACCATTACTTAAGGCGGAGTGGGATTCCAGTTTTGCGCAATGTCCCGTTAAATTCCAAAACAGAGAGAGGGGGATTGAATTTTGTAGATCCAGAAAAATAATTAAATTAATATTTATTTAGGTTAGGTTAAGACACTTTCTGGGCCGAGCGCTGCGGCTATGACAGGCTAGGGGGCCGAGCGCTGCGGCCACATGTCTTACATTTAAGACCCCGCCAACTGCCAGTCTCTACGCAGGCATCCCACAGATATAATTTTTCTGGATCTACAAAATTCAATCCCCCTCTCTCTGTTTTGGAACTTTACGGGACATTGCGCACAACAGGAATCCCACTCCGCCATTACTTAAAACCTCATACCTCATGAGAGCAGATAGAATGTGTTCTCCAAGGATGAATCCATAGACATAAACTGGATTAAAATATGAACAATTGGTTCTCTAAAAAGGAGTCTTGAGCAGTCTGGCAGTAGCCATCTCTGATTCCGTCATTTTAACTTCTGAAAATATTAAATCATTAATTTTCATAATTAGACATAACGTTTATATACACTGAATTTTCTTGGCTAGTCTAAGGTCCTGCAGCTGAAGGGTTACTCTCTACACATATATCCATTAAAGACATTATAAAAACATCTCTGACCGAGTTCAATTTAAAACCTCTTCCATCTCATGAGGGTAGTCAATATTGTTTAACAAATGGTTGACAACGTTTATTGAAAAAAGTAATTAAAAAACTTGTGGATAGATTAGTTCCTTTGCGTGGATAGCTGCTAGGTTGGCATTCTCAAGAACTCCTACTAAAAAGCTTTCTCCAGCTTCTTGCAGGGCTTCTAATGCAGCACTCTAAAAAGTAAAAAATCCTGTTTGTTTTCATTTATTAAAATCTTTCAATCTCCACCTGAAACAGTTTATATTTAAATCATGGGATGTCACT